TCACCTCTGACTTCTCATTGCATTTGCACTGCCATTGAGTCAATTCCAATTCACACTGACCCTGCATATGGCTTTTGAGGAGTGGCTGGTAGGTTTGAACTTCCAAGCTTGAGGTTCAAACTAACCTTGCAGTCTAGCTCATTATCCTGCTGCGCCACACTAGGACTTCTTAGAAAAATAGAATTAAAAGATAATGGAATTTTAAAAATGAACTTTCTGAAGCCCCTTTGTACTGTAGATTATTAAGTGTACAGTGTTGTAGTTAAGTGCTGTGGAGTTGGTTCTGACTCATAGTGACACTGTATGAGATTTCTGAGGAGCAGCTGGCAGGTTTGAACTGCTGACTTTGGGTTCAAACCAGTGCATTATCCTGAAGCTCCAGTATTGTTATTGTCGTTAAGTACATGGAGTCTATTCCAAGTCATAGCGACCCTGTATAGGGTTTCTGCGGAACAGCTGATGACTTTGAATTGCTGGCCTTGTGCTTCACAGTCCAGTGCTAATTTTACAGCACCACAAAAATTTAAATGTATAGAATTACCAAAATGTGATAAAAACAAGAAGCAAGCACATGTTGTTGATTTCCTTAAGGCAAGTAGCCACAAACCCTGTACATGAGTTCTGCCTGTACTTGGCCCTGCACAGAGCGCTGGCTGGCATAGGTAGCTCTCATCATGAGCCTGCTCAAAATGCTGGCTCCTTGGATGCGCCTTCCCTGCATAACCAATATAAAAGAACCTCTTAGTCACGTTCCATCTAACACACTACTTAATACTCCCAATCAAAACAAACTTTCTTTTCTTATATGTTAAGAACAGTTTTACAGCATTGTATATCCATATATCTACTTGATGTGCTCATTCAATAAAATAGTTATGAATAGCTATCATGCAACTACATTAGGTATTCATTTAATACCCACTAGGCAAGAGTCCTAAGGTGCTCTGGTAGCGTAGCGGTTACGAATCGGACTGCTAATCTCAAGGTCAGCAGTTCGAAACTACCAGCAGTTCCACGGGAGAAAGTTGATGCTTTATGCTCCTGTAAAGATTTACAGCCTCAGAAACCCTGTGCATAGTCACTATGGGTTGGAACCGAATCTATGGCTCTTAACCAAAACAACAGGCAAGAGTCCTGGTGTGGCACTGTGGGTTAATGTGTCAGACTGCAAAGCCATTTGAACTGCAAGGTTGGCAGTTCAAACTCACCAGCTGCTCCACTATGGGTTGGAATTGACTCGACAGCACTTTACTACAACAACAACAATGTTAGGCAAATCTGCTGCATAATACCTTTTTAAAGTACTCAAGAGCAAAGATGTCACCTTGAGGACTATGGTGTGCCTGACCCAAGCCATGGTATTTTCATTAACCTCATATGTATGCGAAAGTTGAACAGTGAATAAGGAAGACCATAGAAGACTTGATGCTTTTGAGTTTTGGTGGTGGAGGAGAATATTGAAAGTGCCATGGGCTGCCAAAAGAACCAACAGATCTGTATTGGAAGAAGTGCAGCCAGAGTGCTCCGTGGAGGCCAGGATGTCCAAACTTCGTCTCTCATACTTCAGACATATTGTTAGGAGGGACCAGTCGCTGGAGAAGGATACTGTGCTTGGTAAGGTGGAGGGTCAGAGAAAAAGAGGAAGATCCCCAGTGAGATGGGTTGGCAAAGTGACAGCATGAATGGACTCAAGCATGGCAACAATTGTGAGGTTGGCCCAGGACCAGGAAGTGTTTCATTCTGTTGTGCATAGGGTCACTATGAGTTGGTACCAACTCGATGGCACCTAACAACAACAATAACAACAACATGTTAAGTATCATGGAGTTCTGGTGTAGCACTGGATTGCAAAGTTGGTTTGAACTGTAAGGTTGGCATTCAAGCTCACGAGCCGCTCTTTGGGAACCCTATACAGGGTTGTTATGGGTCGGAACCAACTCAATGGCACTTAACAACAAGAACAACTTGTTAGGTATCTAGAGTCCTGCTGTGGTGCTGCAAGAAAATGTGCTGGGCCACAAGGTCAGTTTGAACTGCAAGGTCGGCAGTACAAACCCAATAGCCGCTCCTTGGAAACCCTATGCAGCGACACTATGAGTTGGAAATGATTCCACGGCACTTAACAACAACAACAACATGTTAGGTATCTAGGAGTATTGGGTGGCGCTATAGGATAAGCACTGGACTGCAAGGCTGATTTGAACCACAAGGATGGTGGTTTAAACCCACCAACTGCTCCTTGGAAACCCTATACAAGGTCGCTGTGAACTGGAAATGACTAGACAGCACTTAACAACAACAACAAATGTTAAGTATCTGGAGTCCTGGTGTGCTACTGTAGGAAAAGCACAAGGTCAGCAGTTCAAACCCACCAGACGCTCCCTGGAAACCCTATCCTGAGTCTCTATGAGTTGAAACAGACTTGATGACACTTAACAACAACTATCTGCTCTCTTCCCAGATCTCAGGATTCAACACTTACCATACTTCCTGGGTAACAGGCTAATGTAAAAGAACCAGACACACAGTGGTCAACAAGACAGGTTATAAGATTTCTTTTCTCACTGAGATGATATTTTTAGGGAGGGAACAAACAGGAAGGGAACAGGGTAAATGAGAAACAAGTTGCAGCAAATTTGGAAATCAAGTCATAGTAGACATATCTACTAGCAGGGTAGGAAAGAAACCCACATGCCAGTTAACCAAAACAAAATAGAAAAGATTCTATTGATTAAACAACAAAAAAGTGAAAAACCTACATCACTGGACAAGATATCCTCATTGTTGGTATGTTTGGGAGCCAAGTACTCTGAGAGTAAACTGTTGCTTATTTCAAACTCTTTATTACTAAAGTTGCTGAACTTTTAGAGATAGGTAGTTACTGCTTTGTAGATGTTGACTGTCTTCCTTATATTATATTTCATGATACCATATTTTCACTTTAATAAAGCTCTACTGGCAAACAAAAAAGTCAGTGGTTCAAACCCACCAGCTGCTCCTTGGAAATCCTATACAGGGTCTTTATGAGTCAGGAACAACTTGATAACACTTAACAATAACAACAACATCTCCAGATTGCAGGATGGACTATTTATCATTCAAGTCTCAGCTCAAATATCATTTTCTCTAAGGAGCCTCTTTGATTATCTAATCTAAACATCCACAGCTCTCTTAATACAATATAAGTAGACACATCTGGAATGACCTTTTTTATTCACTTGGTTTTTGCCTATTATCTGTTATTTATATTGTTAAGTATGAGGGCAGGGACCTTGTCCTACAATCTAGGACCAGACTGTCCTGCAAATCCTTCTATCCCCATGCCTACCTAGGCCAGTGCCTGGCACATGGAACTCTTGCTTGTTCGCTAAATGAGTGAATTTAATAAATCATTGAATGAAAAATTAAACCTTATTCCATGTCAGTCTCTGAGCTAAACGTTCCATATGGAATCTAATTTGCACAACTCCTCATAACTATAAACCATAGGCATTATTCTTATTTTCCAGATGAAAAAAGTTCAAGGTTAAATGTTATCTAAGAGAACCGCCCAATCTTGAGGCCCCATCTCTTCTTACTACTGATACTGCTTATCTCCAAGTCTTTCCCACCAGCCTCCCACACAATAAATCGAACGTTTTATCCACTGAACTTGGCTATTTCTTTTTGGAACTAAATGCATGGGTGGAGCAGGAAAAACACATCTAGAAGTCCCAGTAAATAGTGTAATTCATGCACCCTTATCCTTACTGATCCTTGGGTAAACAAGGGTGGATGTATTTGTAAAGTGACTTAGTGGTTTACTAATTATTTAGAAAAAGGGCACACAACCTATCTAGGAAATAATTCTACACCCAGCTAGCTAGCAACCAACTACCAACTGTCCGTTTTTGAACGGTTTGTACAGAGCTCGTCTCTCTTGCAGACAAAATTTTGGCTTTCACTGCTCTTTTCCCCTCTTATCAAGGAATATGGTGGGAAAACCAAGAGGCGAGGAAATTGGGAAAGCCGCTATGTGTTAATGCGCTAGACTGCAAAGCCGTTTGAACTGCAAGGTCGGTGGTTCAAGCTCACCAGCTGCTCCTTTGAAACCCTATACACGGTCACTATGGGTCGGAATTGACTCGGTGTCATTAACAACAGCAACATAGGCAAGTATGGAAAAAAAGAAACAGTTCTTACCACATCTCTCCCTATCACTTTCCTCTTTGGGAAATTTTAGAAATTGGCTTTCTCCATGATACAATGAATCTCATTTCAGTGCATACACACAGACCCTCCCCCAAGCCATCCACCCTATTATGCCCCCATACACGTCTTTACAACGTCTGTATTGAGACTAGAGAACTGATGTGGTGTAAAGACAGACCAGGCAAAGTGATTTCACAGGTTTAAACCCCAGCCCAGCAAGCAGTGAGAACCTTATTCCCCATATCCTTTCCTGGGGGTCTCTCGCTTTAAATAGCCAAGAAGTGACAGCACAGCGAGTCAGAGGTGAGGCAATCGGGATTGGAGATGTTTACAACTGGAAGAAGTGGAGAGGCGCGGGGCCACCTGGAGGTATCTGCCCTTCACTGCGCCAGCGCCAGACGCAAGGCGCAGGGCTCCAGCGGCGTGGCCGGGTGCGCCCCGTGCCTAAAGGGTGACTCTGGGCGTGTCCGCCAGAGAAAAAAAGTCCTTAAACGGCAGTGGCATGTGGGAGTCTTCCCAAGGCACCCTGAATTTCCGCGTCCCGATACTCCGCACACTGTAATTTACTTGGGGTGCCTTCCAGACCAGAGGGGGAACCACGTCTGTCTTGTTCTCCCAGGCTTCTTTCTCCACATAGCCCGTCATAGTGTAAGCACTCAGATATCTGGTGGGTAGACTGGCTGGCTAACTGATGAATACTTGAGAGTCAGTACATCCCTGTCACCACGACTCCAAGAAAATCCCAGGATTGCTTACCCGGTCTCTCGGCCACCCGAATGCTGTTCCCCCGCCTCAGGGCAGACACTCACCTTCTCGACAAGGCTGTCCAGGCGGCAACCTCACCTGTCCCGCCATGGCCCCCGGATGGGCCTTCCCAAGTGCTGGCGCTTGCTCCTCACCTACCTGGGCTGCCTTTCCTCCTCCCCCATGAGCTGCGAGGATTACACAGGTGTGCGCTGACCCCGCCCCTGAGAAACCTCAGCCAATGGGGAGGCCCGGGGATTCCGAGGGCCACGCCCCCAGGCACCCGCGTTCTGTGCTATTTCTTCTTTCGCTATAGGCTCCAAGGACCTTGGGCACCTACCCTGAGGGTCAGCTATCCCCTGCGGCGAAGTCTGGAAAACGCGGACACACCCGTTTGGAGCTTGAAGACCGCGGAGGAAATGCTCTGGGGAAATTTGATGGCGTAAAGGCTGTGCTGAGGCCCCCTTCTGGCTTCGAGTGAGTTCAACACTGCTGGTTTTTAAAACCTTCAAATGTTTGCTACTTTGCATGAAGTTACCTGGCCACTAGGGTTCCAAACTGCAGTTTATTCTTCTTGCGTTAAGACAGATTATGTCCTTTTGTGCTACTGTCTCAGAGCTCTTCTTCCCATTTCCAACCAGACCTCCCCTCCCCAAAATAATTCCCCCCATTTTCTAAGTCAAATGTCTAATAGGTTCCGACTCAGAGTGACGCTGTTTAGGGTTTCCAAGGAGCAACCTTGCAGTTAGAAGTCCAGTTATTTGAAATAAACACCTAAAGACAGTGCCCAAACAGAAAACCATCTATTCCCACGCAATATTAATTGTTAATATGCATTATCAGTTTGGAGTTCTGGTGTGGCGTTGTAGGATAAGCACTGAACTGCTAACCACAAGGTCAGAGGTCCAAACCCAGCAGCCACTCCTTGGAAACCCTATACAGGGTCTATGAGTTGAAACCGATCCACAGCATTTAATAATTGTCAGTTTGGCTTTCTGAGGTGGCTTGTGTGTTACTATGATGCTGGGAGCTATGCCACCCACCAATATTTCAAATATCAACAGGGTTACCCATGGTGGAAAGGTTTCAGGTGAACTTTCAGACCAAGATGAGGAAAGGCCAGTCTCTCTACTTCTGAACAAGAAAACCTCATGGATCACAAAAGAACATTCTCAGCTTTGCTGCTTTGCACACTCATCAGGTGAATCAATCTCTAAAGGAAGACATTATGTTTGGTGAACCAGGGGGCAAGGAGACGAGAGAAATGCTTGATGAGGTGACTCAGGACCAACCACTGTTTCATTCTATTGTACATAAAGGTGCCATCAGCCAGAGTCAACCAGAAGGCAGCTAACAACAGTGGCATGTGTTGTAACCTAGCTACATCATAAATACAAGACACTTTGTATGTATTAGCTAATTTAATCTCATAGCATAGTCTGTTAATCTCCATTTTACAGATGAGGGATCAGAGGCAAAGATCTTCAAGGGAAGACTTGGTAGCAGGCAGTACACTGGTGATTCCAGGGACTGTGCCTAATCATTATGCAATGAGAAATGGGCATATGGATACTAACATCTTCACCACGGGAAAGGGTGCGGTGACTTTGTGCTTCGGCATTTCAGCACAGGGGAAAATACTTCGCCTTTGCTCCAGGTCGTCATGAGTAGTAGTACTATTCACTTTATTGCCCAAGAGTTTCTAGCAGAGACTTCAATCTTGCTTTACTTGTTCTCTGGAAAATTGGAGAAGAGTTAAGAGCCATTTGTCAACTTACTATCTAAGGTGCACACACGTCTTTTACACGGGAATAAATGGTTTTGTAATGCAGGAATATCATAGGGGTGGAGGGACAGAATAAATGGTAGTAAGGAAAGGGGATTTGTGCCAATTTTGGATAATAAGCTTTAAAATTTAGATTTCTATTTAAATGTTTGGTGTCCTGGTGTGGTGCTGTAGAATAAGCCTTGGACTGCAAGATTCGTTAGAACTGTAAGGTCGTGGTTCAAACTTACTAGCTGCTCCTCGGGAATCCTATACAGGGTCCTTATGAGTTGATACCTACTCAATAGGAGCTCTGGTGGCGTAGTGGTTACGAATCAGACTGCAAACCTTAAGGTCAGCAGTTCAAAACTACCAGCTGTTCCATGGGAGAAAGATGAGGCTTTCTGCTCCTGTAAAGATTTACAGCCTCGGAAACCCTGTACAGGGTCACTATGAGTTGGTTCCGACTCCACGGCACATAATCACCACCACCACCACCTACTCAATGGCAAGCTTTAAGATTCAGTAATGAGAGAAAGAGAAAATAAATAAATAACAGGTATCTTGTTTTGGATTTAAGGGTTTTGTTACCCACAAAATCAAATATTAGCCATAAAAATTTCTGACTAAGACCTGCCAGCAACATTTTCCATCCAAAGCTGCTAATCTTTTCTTTCATGCTTGAAGCTAGGCTCACTAACTCTGTATTTCAAAAAATATCATGACTAAGGAATGGAGAGCCAGATATCATCTTGTGACTGGATATCTGTTGATCTCAACTAAAGAGGGAGGCAGGATTCAATCAGTCATGTTAAAATTAGCTAGTGATTGATCTTCTCCTTCCTTTTCCCTTTATAAAGCTCATTTTAACCAGCCATTTGCTTTTTTCTAGAATCAGAATGGTCTGTCTGTGTGCTGGGAAAATAAACTTTATGTCTTGATATTTTTGAATTTTGGTGATTTTTAATACATGTTTTATCTATGTATCTCTCTACCTATACATATACATACACATAGCACTTACTATGTGGCAATTCTTCTTCTTAGCACTTTATAAAAACTTCTAAAATCCTCATAACAATCCTGTGACACTATTATTAGTCCCATCTTACATAATTGGAACTGGGCACACAGAGATTAAGCAATTTGCTATGTACACATAATTAGTAAGTGGTGGAGCTGGAATGCTAACAAAGAGTCTGGCTTCAGAGCCATGTTCTTAGCCCATTTGCCTAACTGAACATTGAAAACAAAATCTTTTAAAAAGTACACCTGAGGTGATTTTTAAATAACTTCTAATTCCAGTTTAATATTAAGGTCTATTTTAGGTCAAGGCATTGCTTTAATTCTTACATTCAGTTCTGAAAATAAAGAGGAAAGCACTTGGAAAAATACTGAAACATATTTAAGATCACTGTTGTTGTTGTTGTTGTTAGGTGCCATCAAGTTGGTACTGACACATAGCGACCTTATGCACAGCAAAACGAAACACTGCCCGATCCTGGGCCAACCTCACTATTGTTGCCATGCTTGAGTCTGTGGATGCTGAGTTTAAATAGCTTGTTGTTAGGAGTTTTCCAATTGGTTCCTACTCATAGTGACCCTATGTACAACAGAAAGAAACACTGCCCAGCCCTTCCATTGCCATCCCCATGTTTGATCCCATTGGTGCTGTCACTGTGTCAATCCATCTCCCTGGGGGTCTTCCTCTTTATTGTGACCCTCCACTTTATCAAGCATGATGTCCCTCTCCAGGGGCTGGTCCCTCCTGATAATGTCTGAAATACGAGAGACAAATCTCACCATCCTTGTCTGCCTGTACTTGTTCCAAAACAGATTTGTTTGTTCTTCTGACAGTTGAATGGTACTTGTCATATTCTTCTCCAACACTATACTTCAAATGCATTGATTTTTCTGAGGTCTTCCTTATTCATTGTCAAACGTTCACATACATATGTTGCTGTTGTTAAGTGCATTCTGACTCACAGTAACCCTTTATAGTGTTTCTAAGAAGCAGCTGGTGAGTTTGAACTGCTGACCTTGTGGGTAGTAGCCCGTTGCTTATCTTTCAGTGCCAGGGCCCCCACATGCATATGAGGCAATTGAAAATACCATGGGTTGGGTCAGGCACACTTTAGTCCTCAAACTGGTATCTTTGCTCTTAAACACTTTAAAGAGGTCTTGTACAGTTTTGCCCAAAGCAATATGTCCTTTGGTTTTTTGAATTGCTGCCTCCATGAATGTTGATTGTGGATCCAAGCAAAATGAAGTCTCTTACAAGTCAAACTTTTCTCCAATTTATCATGATGGTATGTACCAGTCCAGTTGTGAGGGTTTTAGTTTTTTTTGCACTGAGATTCAATCCATATTGAAGGCTGTATGCTTTGATCTTCATCAGTATTTTAAGTCCTCTTTGTTTTCAGTAAGCAAAGTTGCATCATCTGCATACTGCAGGTTGTGAAATGAGTCTTCCTCCAATCCTGATGCCACCTTCTTTTTCATATAATCCAGTTTCTCAGATTACTTGCTCAGCATACAGATTGAATAAGTATAGTAAAAGGATACAACCCTAATGCACACCTTTCCTGATTTAAAACCATTTGCTATTCCCTTGTTCTGTTCCAACAAGGTCTATGGTCTATGTACAGGTTCCTCATGAGCACAAGTATTCTGGAATTCTTCGCAGTTACTCATAATTTGTTATGATCCATACAGTCAAAAGCCTTTGCATAGTCAATAACGCACATCTAAACATCTTTCTGGTATTCTCTGCTTTCAGGCAAGAGTCATGTGACATCAGCTATTAAATCACTAGTTCCCAGTCCCCTTCTGAATCAGCTCTGAATTTCTGGCAGTTCCCTGCAGATGTACTATTGTACAGGGTTGGGTAGTGTTCTGTTCTGTTTTGCATAGAGTCACTATAAGATAGAATCGACTTGATGGCAACTTAGGAGCTCTGATAGCATAGTGGTTATGAGATGGGCTGCTAACCTTAAGGTCAGCAGTTCAAAACTACAAGCTGTTCTGCAGGAGAAAGATGAGACTGTCTGCTCCTGTAAAGATTTACAGCCTCAAAACCCTATGACTCGTAACTAACTCGACGGCACACCACCACCACCAAGAACAGTTTCATAAATTTAACTAATTCTTTAACATCATTAACTACATTATGCAGAAAAATAATTCCAGAACACTTATTTGTGTTCATGTGGGCCCTGGACACAAATCAAGAGGCAGTTGTTCAAAAAGAAGAAGGGAATACTGTGTGGTCTAAAATCAGGAAAGATGTATGTGAGGGAAGTGTCCTTTCACCATACTTATTTAATCTGTATGCTGAGTAAATAATCTGAGAAACTAGAC